TGGTTCCATTTTATTTCTTTATTTCTTTTTTTTTCCTTTTTTTTTTCCTTTTTTTTTTTTTTTGCTTTTTTAACCTGTTTTCCTGACCTGACTCCCACAGTGGTATTTTTGATAGGTTGGACATTTTTTTCCCTTCTATATGAAGACAGATGCAAAGAAGAAATTAAGCAGTTCTGCTTTTTCCCTGCTGCCTATCACAGTTTTTCCCTCTTCTCCTATCAGAGGACCTAGTATTTCCTTGAGTTTCTTTTTATTCCTTACATATCAAAAGAACCTTTTTTTGTTATTTTTGGAAGTCTTGCCTCATTCTGAGCCTTAGCTTTCCTTAAATCCTTGCGGATTTAGGCTATTTTCTGATATTGTGCTCTAGTTATGAATTCCTTTCCATTTTATTTTACATTTATCATTTTTGTCCCTGGTTATTTTTCCCCTTTAGGTTTTCTGTCCATGGAATACTTCCTAACTGTTTCTTACTTTGCTGAAATCAGCTCTATTAAAATCTAAAACACTAGTCTGACTTTGTTCAATTATCTGTGCCTGCATTATGATGAATTCTAGTATGATATGGTCACTCTACCTGAAAGTTCCTATGACTTCCATCCCTTCTATCATTTCATCCCTATTAGTAAGGATTAAGTCCAGTGTACTTGACCCTGGAATCTTTTTGATCTTCCAATTGCTTAAGAGTTTGTCTCCCAGTTTATGTCAGGTTAGTTAAGGTACCCCATTATTACAGTTGTGTGCTTCCTGCACATCTTATTTTATTGAATACCAAAATGTTTAACTGAAATTTTCCTCTGCTTGGTTGGGAGACCGGTAGTATACCCCTTTCCCAATATCCCGAGAAGTGGAAATTAGAAGAAGCATATTCACCCATATTGAATGCACAGACTGCATAGATTCTATTGTTCTTTCTACACAGCAAATATATATATATGAGTTGAGCCTTTTTAAATATGTCTAGTAAAAGTATAATATATTATGTGGATAAATCCACACTAAAACTAAACTACCACATTTGACACGAGATGAAGTGAATTCTAGTCAATGCCATAATTCAACCTGCTGATGTACTGAAACTACAACTCTCAAGATTCCCACTAGTTAGCCAAGAGTACCAATTCTGGGGAGTTATAGCCCCAACAT